CCCCTCAAGAAACGGTGCTTGAACCATTGGATGAACTTTTTCCACCAAAATTCCAAAATAGTCACGGCTGTTGATTCTTCCATGAAGAGAAATCATGGGTCTGCAAGATTTCCAAGAAATAGCACCCCAGATCATTACAGATCCCCGGCCATGTTTTACGGTTAGGAGGAGGCAGTCTGGATAAAATGACACTTTTGACTCCAAACGTAAACTCGGCCAGAGGTTGGAAATAAGGTAAACGATGATTCGTCAGAGAAAATCGCATTTTTCCACTGTTCGAGGGAAGAATTCTGGAGGTTTTTACACCACTTTAAACGCATTGAAGCATTAGAATTTTAAACTAGAGGTTTTCTAATTGCAGCTCTTCCATAGAATCCAGATCTGTGCAGCTCTCGGCGGACAATCTTTATGGAAACTGGGTTATATTGTTGTCCATTGATGTCTGCGATAATTATAACAGCCGTGGTCTTTTGATTGTCCCTCGCAATTCGATTTAGGTATCGACGGTTTCTCTTGGACAACTTCGACTTTCGCCAGACCTGTGCTTTGCTGAGAATATTCTTCTCTTTCAAAAGCAGTCATTTGCTTAACCCCTCTACTACGGAAGATGATCATGTAAACATTGCGTTTACAATTGAAATGACGCAATAATTAAAAAACAACAAAATTACAATTAAAAACAAAATTACAATTTGAATGACGCAATAGTTGGTTACAACAAATATTTGAATATCGAAAATGATTCAAGAAACGAATGCTGGATTCATGCTTTTTTTTTTTTTGCTCAAAGAAATTCATAATGAATTTCAATTATTATTCAACTTGAATTTTTTTTTGTAAAACAATAAAAATTAATAGGTTTTGGAAAGAATTTAACCCAAGTAGTTACTTCATGCTAAACGATATTTTCACACGAAAAATTTTCAGTCATTGCCCTGAGAAAAGTCGAAATGTTTGGTTAATCGGGCAGTGGAATTACAAGCTCTGAACGAAGTTTTCAAAGAAACTGAAATAGCGGACAAAGCCAATGCAAAGTGGAGGCATTCAACGGAGCAAACTTCTTTCTATTACCTTGAGTGGCGCAAAATAAAAGAAACTCTTCTTCAAAAAAGTTTGAAGCATTTGCATCTAAATCAAAGTAGAGCAACCGGAAGATGCGTGTGAAGTTCCCTCGAAAGATGTCGAAAAGCTCGTCACGTTGTTGAACAATTCAGAAAAGAGAGGAAGACACATGTCCCGGAACGCTCAACTCAGCATAAGCCACAATTTGCGATCAAATAAAAAACTGAAAACAATACAACAATGATATAATTAATTACTGCAACAAACTAAACGCAAAGATTGAAGAACAAAATTCTCGCACAGATGCTCTCAATCTTTTGAGGCAGTCAAAGCAAAAATGTAAACATGTGAACCGCAGTGTTCTTTCTTTACAAAATAAACTACAGAAGAGACTGCATCGCACTTCGTGATGTGTATGAAACTCCGCACGTCTAGCACAAGGTTTGTATGCTCTTGAGTATACCTCACTTGAGTATCAAGGATACACTAGTGGGCCGTTCGACCGTGCAGGTTAAGATCAATTTACCCCTATTTAAGAAATAAGAGAAAGAAATCAAAGAAGAAAAGTTTAGATAGCCGTACGCGTTATAATAGGAACTTTTCACGAATTAGATGTAGGCTCAATAAAATAAAAGCTGCATGCCGAAATGTATAGCTAGTGTTCATACATTGGACGATTTAAATATACCCAGTAGATTTTTAATGCAAAAATAGGTTTCAGAAGTAATCTAAGGCGCAGCAACTCGTTCTTAAAAACATTTACACTGAACAGAGTTCGATGATAAGACGGAAGAGCTCTTTAACGAAGTGAGTAGGCAACGCTACAATGCTGAAGAATAAATAATTGCAGGGCGAATACGTCGTACGTGCAGGAGCCAAGTCCTGTGTACAAATGAACTGAGCAGAACTAGGAAAAAATTAGCTGATCAAACTGAACTCATAATCAGATATGATCGTACAAGTCCGCAGATCGCTGATATGGTGTAAAAAGATATAATTTTTAATATCTTTGTCAAGTATTTTATAGAAAGAATGACGGAGAGAACGAATTGCTAGTTTAAAAATTACCGTGAACAAATTTAAAGCGATGCAAAAACTGAAAACCTAAATTCGTCAAGCTGCCGCAGCGTCGTGTTGAGTAACTTTATAAGAACCTAAAATTTGGGATTTTCGTTTTACTGATAATCTCAACGGAACCTCAAATTGAATTGAAAACAGAAGCGCAAACGTGAATATTTTACAAGGCATGTGTCGTACAATTCTGACAAAAAAACCTTCCAAGTATCCAAACGAAAGACTTGTGATGAGCTACACTCTTATCAAGCGTTAGGAGCAACTTATTGTAATAAAACTGAACACTAATATAAAAAAATCCTATAAATTCATTCATACAAGCCGGAATCCGACGTACCGTACATCATAAATTCACCCTCGTGTACAGATCAAGTTGAAAAATTCATTGCCACAAACCCCCAATTCTAATGGTCCCAACAAACGGCCATTGAGAGACGCACGGACGCTTCCATTAAGCAATGTTTCCGGAAAAAGAAGCACACACAGCTCTTCATAACAAGGGAAAATATCGCTCGCTTCAAGCTATCGATGAGAACCAAGTGAGGCTACGACGCAAGCCAAAAAATATTACTCCTCATTGTAATACATCCCGAAATATTTTCCGGTTGTGGAATCATGTCAACCAATAGCCAATGAAGACAATTTAAATGTTTAAAGTCAATAGTTAGATGTAATTATGGAGAACCACGATTAAAAAGTTCATAATGACGTTTTATCGTCTTTTTTCTCCATCACAGTAAACAGCAATGACAAAAAAGGCATCGATAAATTACTAGTCCATTAAAGTTAACGAGCTGTCGGCAGCTTGTCACAGTGAAACCAGTAGTAAAAAATCAAGGAACGACTCTATAGTGAAACTTGCGTATTGTAGCACCTGAAACGGATAAATCGAATGCATCAGGCGCAAATAAACAAGCTCGCTACTCGGAAATAAAAAATTTGCACAGCAATGGCCGGGCGCATCGAAGGATTTTGATATAAGAGAGGGAGGATATCAATATTTCATGGTGCAAGAGCAGCAGCAGACAGAGATAGCGAGGTAAGTCAACAGCGAGAGAGAGAGAGAGAGAGAGTGTGAGAGAGGAAGGGAGGCGTAACAGAGGGCCTGCGTAAACAGAGACTTGGGGATCCCTGAGCCCGTGATCTTGAGCTTTTATGGAAGAGAATAAAAAGTAATAAGTCCAATTGCTGATACGGTTAAGATTCTCGCTTAAATATGGGATGAATGAATGAAACTGCGTCATCGAGAGAATTAATTAATGAAGGCCATACAGGCCACTCGTAATGCATAAGAGAGTACCGTAAGTCACTCATTGTGTTCACATTCTCATAGCTTCAAATATTCTTGTATACCCTCCAATGAAATGTACCATCGATGATGCTTTTTCAGAATAAAAGATAAGTGGGTTCACCCACTTGATAGAAGGCAAGTTTACAAAAATGAAAACTAGAAGAAGTAAGAATAGTTGAGTAACCCACGGTAAATCTACAAGACGTAATAGTCTTGAAACTCAGAATTTGTATGAATTTGGGAGGATTCCGATAGAAATCAGCTTTCAAGCCGATCTTTGCAACTTAGAAATCATTCGCCAATATTTAACCAGTACTCAGAATACTTAGGTAAGAAAATAAAAACAATCGTCAAGTATTTATACTTCGAGAGAAGCAAGAAAATTTCACCACAACAGATGATACGTACTTATAGTTTGTCTAGTACATCGGTATCTTCAATTCAAGAATCTTCATTTAGAATAAAACCAGATGAATATTATTCACCGAAAAGTGATTTCGCGTCTCGTGAATGAGACGTAAATTCAGATTTCAACGTAGTTATTTCCTGTCCATAAAAAAAAATCGAATGGCGTAACACCAGAACTGGCGAACACCAAACGTTGACGCGCTCATCACACTGCACGAAATTTAGCTCGCTATATCATGGTATAATTTTCATACAAGTCTGAAAGGAATGAATTCGCATGACATTTCTGACGCTCATTACGAGCGAAGCGGCGACAGCTCTGCAAAGATGGAGAGCGCGACGAAAATTTTACGGCATTTGCCAAGACCATCGAGCAAAAAAGTAGAAAAGATTGTCGCGATAAGGGCCAGTATTCCCATGACAACCGAATGGGAAGTGCAGGAGTGCTAGCAAGCTTTTATCCGCTGGCTTAACAATAGAAGAGACGAGATACTGACTGAATAAGGAAAGGATGTCCAATACACGCATGCAGTCAGAATAAGATGTATGCAGAAAGACCTAAAAATTATTCAATTTTTATTCCATAGACAAGTACCGGTATGCACATACTTAATCCATAACTAATAATATAAAATTAGGAAGCGAGATATATGTCGGTTGAAGATAATGAAGATAATAATCAGAAATTCTGGTTAACTTATCAGAGTTTATTTTTAGAATAGTATCAGTGAAATCTAGGAAATAGTAAAAAAAAAGAAAAAAACGCCCACAAAAATGCAGGTATTTACAAGTATCTATTTATCGAATTCCGTTATCAACGTTCAATCACAATAAAATCTACGAAACGGACAAAATTTACGTTTCTAGGCAACACCGTCAGCTTGGCCCGTGATATAAATATTAAGAGATCACAAGCACAGAATTTAAGTCCAAAACTACGCCCTTCGCAAAAACAGGAAAAAATATAACTCAGTACTCACTGCAGCTAGTGAGTGACAAAGAGCGCATTTTCTCGTCGACGAAAACGTGAAGTCACGGACAGACGGACAGACAGACGGACAGACATGGCGAGCACAATAGAGCATTTTTTCCATGAATGAGAAAATGCGCTAAAAATGCAGCCTTGTACAGTAATAAGAGGGCGTATCACGGCTACGAGTCTCACCTTTTTGGCATCGTTGGCGTCGATGTTGACAGAGGGACTCATGACGGAGCCGTTGCTGACGCCGCCAGATGGGCTGCTCAGCAGCTCGTCGGAGCCTCGCTGCAACACACACATTAGATCAATATAATTTTACTTAGAACTTGAAATCAAATAAATGGTTTACTAACGCAAACGTGTCAATATGAAACAATGATATTATTGATCAACATGCGCTGCAACACAGATGAGCTCAATACAATTTTACTGAGAACATGAAATCAAATAAATGTTTACTAACGTTAACGTGTTGCTATGACACAATAATATTATTAATCGACATGAATTTTCTATGTAACAAACTTGATTATTTAAGCATTTTAACTCAATATTAGAAAAATTGGTCATTTTTTGCTTATTAAAACAAATTTGAGAGGGGTTAGGGTTAATAATCTTTCTGAAGTCTTTATAAACGCACGAGAATTTAAAGAAAAGACATTATATAATTTTGGATCATTATGTTTGTCTAAAATCAATACTTAGCAGACAAAGTAATAAAAATCACAAATAAATATTTTTAAAAGTATGTAGCTCACGATACTTGGTAAAATAATTGCAGCCGACTTGAACATCTAAAACTGAGCTGCATTAAAGCGAGATATTACGAGAAAACGTTTGTCAAGAAATTTCATGACCTACAAAGCTCAATACTCGATAACTTGGGAATCATTAGGTTTCTGGCGCAAAAAAAAAAAAAAAAAAAACATGAGAAAACACATCCAGCGTAAGCTTTGAAATAGTAGCGTCAACTCGTCGATTTCATTTCAGTATTTCATCAGCTCACGACAATTTTCCAAACTAAATGTAATCCAATCATATCCTACCTGAGTAAAAATTGCGGTTCAAAATAATATATATCGCAGATACCCCGAACTAATTTTAATCTTTTTTAACTAAATTGTGAAAAGCGGCAGTTACAGGTATTATATTTTCAATTCTTTACAAGCTGCTATAGATAAGCCTGATTGAGTTTAACTAGGGTTTCTCCAGTGCATGAATCTATCAGAAAAGTCACAACTATCACAGGAAACTAACATAAATGCTAAAGACTGACACAAAATATACCTTTATAAACAAAGCAATGTATAAATATGTTTCGAAACTGAACTCAAGTCTGAGGATGATAGATGTGTACTGCTTAGCGAGATTTTTCAAACCATTTTTAGCTTAATTTACTCGTTTGGATAAATTGAAAACTCAAATCAATGGATGCAAGAAAGAAGAATGAATTCTACTTAAACGCTAGCCAGGTAGCAAATAGTTTCTCGGGAGTCCGCCAGAGTCGGGCAAAGCAAGTACTTCTCATGGATATATTCAGTACCAAGCATCATTAAAAATAATCCGACGTTTCTATGTACTTTTATCTTCCGAGTCAGAGGGTTCTGAGGAGGACCCCTGAGACCACTTTATCAGGGGTCACGCCACAGACGTACGGTCATGGAGAAAAACTTAACCAGCGCTAAAAATATACAATAAACCACGTAGAAAACTCATAAAAGCAAAAGGTGTAAAAAAGACGACAGTCGCAAAAAGTTTTCAAGTGAATCGAAACCATTTATAAGAAAGAAAATTGATACTGTGATAAGAAAAAAATCTTAAGAAGAGGGGACTGTTATAATCAAAGAAAAATTTGATAATAAGAACAGGTAGAATCTAATTAAATACGTGAACTGAAGTCAAGTTTAAACGTAACTGAGGGAGACTAAAATGATGAGAATGTATTTACTATTAAAATGACCGAGAGCAAATTTCACAAGAAGCTAAGTAACGGCCAAAAATTGCCGGTTCCTTCATGTATAAATTCATCAACCGCGTGCGACCTAAAAATGGGGCTAAAAATTTCCAGCGTAATGTCGCCAAGACTGACACGCTATGCACGGAAACCTTGCTTGTCGTGCCAACAAGCGGCAGAAATAAGAGGCACGTAATTAAGAACTCATGCAAAATGTGGACTTGATTTTTTGGCCTGAAGACATCATAGTTGCTCGGAGAAGACCGTGCCGAGGGGGCAAAGAAGCATCACAACGAGTGATGCATCAAAGACCGGCACACAACAAAGAAAGCCACCAAGGAGAGCACACAAAACTTTTCACGAGTCAACAGAGAAGTTTCACAGCGACTAACATGATTGGGCTCTATTGTTTGCGTCCGTACCGAATTTGCAGCTAAAAAGGACCTTATCCACCACAGCAGCTCAATACCAATTCAATACAACGAATGTCGCAAAGAAACGTAAATTTGCTGCGAGATATAGCGAATGTGTTGAACGTTGAGATGAGTCAATTTTAATAAAAACAACACAAAAAATATCAGGAATAATGAAAAAAATTAAAATTTAAACGTGTTTGTGCAGTAGGCTGACTTTTCTTGTGCGCCCGAAGGAGTTTTCAATTTCATGAATTTATTACGACTGGCGGGGATACTTCTCAACAACAGCTTAATGACGACCACGCATCACAAGAACCTTTTTGGCGCATCACAAATCTCATAAATATTTCCGATTATAAATTCTTTCAGCCATTTGTTTTATGTTCTTCAGACTGCAATATATTGTCAATATATTCAGTCTCCAATATATCCAAGAAGTCAAATAAGTTCAAAATGAATGAGAACTCTCTCACAAAAAAAGCATTTCATAGTCAATTGAAACAACGGATCTATTCTTACCGGACCATTGTAAAATTGAACCGTTATTCTAGCGTATGGTTTTACAGTTGGTAGATTTATCAGCTAACTTTTGAACGTCGAAATTATTTTGATTATTAAAATCGCAAGTAAGACTAAAACTATGGCGTATAAGGTACATGCATGCACCTTTTGTACGGCATTGAGTTATTGATGTGTTAGCAGATGTATTTCATCACTATTCAAAATGAAAGAGGTAACGGGGTTCAAAATGCTATCAGAAATTAAAAAGCCTATCAAAGCCGTGTTTAACAATAAGATCACCGGTCTTTCGGGAGCACAGTATTACTAAATCAGCCTGGGAGCGAGCACGAACTGGGCAGCTGCAGCAACTGAAGAGCACGAACGGGGCAGCTGGAGCAGCTGAAGAGCACGAGCGACTCTCAGACAGATTAGCAAGTTAACAGACCCAACTTCCAGACAAACTATGAATACAAACTCTAGGTCCTTTGGAATACAGGGCCGTTGGCGTGGGACTGGAGCACAACTTGACCTCCTCTACGTCAAGACGCTTATCCATATCTATGCAGGCATCACAAGGCTCCCGGGCCCAACAGGCACCTTGAATTGCATTAATTTAGATACCAGAATCTAATTGGTGTCTTATGACAACGTATAAGGAGCATTTTTCGACTTGCATATTCTATTATGTACGGAAAAAAGAAAACTCGAAAGCACGGGCTCACATGCTTTCCTCGCAGTAATTAAAAAAATTAAAAATGCATAAAGACACACTAGAAAATCAAGCGTCGTGATTATATTATGATAAGAACTATAAAGAGAGAGAGAGAGCAGAGCTCGGTGTCGTGTACGCAGAGGGGTGCGACAGGGAGGTGCCACTCGTGTCAAGATTGTGTCACGCCCTATACAAAGGCAACGACACAAAATTAGCCGACAAGCCGCGACGCGTCTTCGCGTGGTAGCGCCGTTGTGAACTTCCCGTCGCAGGTAAAGATAGAGTTGAGTTGCGATAGAAATTGCGTTTAATATTGAAAATTGCGAAATATCGTGGGATGACAAGCATAGCTGTGAATCCCAATCTCACGAGAAAACCTACATAGTAAATAATATCAGAAATCGCAAAATTAATTCAAGATTCAAAAAAATATAAACACGTTTCTAGGTTACGCAATAGTAACGTTTCAACTCATTCGAAATTTATTTGCACATTCAAGACAAGGATGGATAACAAAGATCGAGTCGAGTCCCAAAGCATCAAATCAAGACGTCCAGGCTGAGTTCAAACACTAGATCTCACAACAAAGCGTTTCTGTTCGTGTTAATAGGAAGCCGAAGCAAAGCTCGTTTATAACAGGAGCTTCATAGCAGCCGACAAGACTGGCTATATCCAGCTCGTTTATACTCACATACGCGCCCTGAGTATTAAATTTTTATCGAAAAAAATTAGTGGGCGACGATAACGTTCGATGGTGACATTTTCCTCCAGTATTGGTTAAAAAACATAGGGGATATAGTGTTTCCATCAATCCCGTTATATAGCTATCAGGCGCTTGAAGTAAATAATGTTAGTACAAATGTTTATCTGGATATGATTGACAATAAATTCGTATCTTGTATGCCGGCTATGCCGATTCTTGAAGATCAGTAGGTACCTTTCATCACATAATTTGAGCTCACAACTAGCACTAAATATATTGAAATAATTAACACAACAATAGCCCTCATGATAGAATTCTTCTGGCAATAATGTCGATAGAATAAAGTGGGAGCGAATTATCGACGATGTCCCGAATGAATCACGTTCATAGCAACACACTGAATGAGCTCAACTTCCATTTAAAAACGAAACTAAATAAAAAGAGATAAAAGAACTTGCGAATATTACATAATGCGCGAATTTGATAATCTAAATTTTTAATCCAGATTTGAGTCCTGATAATTTCGGGCATGAGGATCGCTAACAAGTATAGATGATAGAAACCAAACAGAGTTTCGACGAAATTAGATTTAATCAAGATATAACTTGATTTTCCAGCACTGGTAGACGGTATCTGATTTGCAACCTTCTAATGGAATCTTGGACTGTAGACAATTGTGTATCTTTTCAATTTTGTATGAATTTGGTAGACATCAACTAGCAACCGTTACCTAAAAGTTTCCGTACTTACAAAACCTCTCTTGAAACTCATGCTTTGCAAGCCGTCAGCTTACCTGCGAAAGAAAGAAAACATAAAAATTAGACAAGTAAAAAATAAACCGACAAGGCAAGATAACACAAAAAAATGGACAATTAACGCCAATACGTGGGAACAGAATTATAATTAAAAATCAGTTCTGATATCATCGGACTGACACTGCTAGCGGTACACAGAAATAGAAAGCGAAGCCTAAGCTCCATAATTCCTATTATTTGGGCA